AAAAAAAAAAAAAAAAAAAAAAGAGAAACAGCCCCTAGGGATGGTAGGGAACAGTGTCTGTGGGAACGTGCAGGGATCCCAGTAGCCTTGAGCCTCTGCTGCTACACACACATTCTCCAGATCTTCCACTCGTGGGCTGTTCTTTCAGACCTGCCTTCGCGCTCTTAAACCCCACATCAAATGCAGGTGGACTGTGCTGGCTGGCAGGCTGCCCTGCGCCCCAGGTCACCTGCTCTCCACGCAGAAGGCAGGGCGGGAAGAAGCCCGAAAGGTCCCTTGCAAAGCCAGGACTACACCTGGACCTCGCATCCTGGCGAGACTGCCAGCGTGGAGGAGGCGCCAGGGTGAGCTGGCTGAGCACTCCAGCGAGGCCAGCAGAACTCAGCTGAAGACCGCATCTTGAACACGCCGGTTTTTTATTTGATTGTACCATGGGTACAGTACCCCTGTCAAGTTTACCTTATCTTCATGTTTTCTTTTTCAGATAAAAATTCTTAGACCAGAAAGTTTAAAGAAATCAGTGAGAAATTTTGTAACTGAAAAAATGGGAAGCGAGTATCTTCACAGAGGCGGGGTTAACCTGAAGGAATCGTTCAGAGAGTCCACGGCCCAGACCCCTCTGACTCTCATCCACACCCAGGGTGAGTGCTCAGAGCAGGCAAGCAGGTTCGAGGCCAACATGTTCCTCAGAGTCCAGTGTTTTTGTTTTGTTGTTTCTTTTTTATAATTATCTTTTTTTTTCTATAAACTACATTCGCTGGGGTCTTTTATTGGTACATTGTAGGTTTACATAATGATCACATTCATCACAGGGAATTTGTACCTGCACATGATATGTCTTACTTCTTTTTTTCACTCCCGTTCCCACACTTCAACAGTCTTTCTCGTCTTACTTACAAAAGTTTTGTTTCCATTTTTTCCCTTCTATTTTTTTCTTGTCTCTTCCTTCCTTTCTCCTCCCCTCTCCTTTGTTCCCCTTCTCATTTGAACATTTTCTTCTCATTTCCCAATACCTATAGTATATTTTTGTCCTTATTTAAATTTTTGAATTCCCACACCGGAGAAACAATGCAGTATTTGAACATCTCTGTCTGACTTATTTCACTTAATATTCTGGTCCCTAGGTGCATCCATTTAGCTAGAAATGTCTTATCCTTATAAAGCTTATCCTTCTTTATGGCTGAGTAGTACTGTATTATGTAAGAAAAAAAACCCACATCTTTTTTATCCATTCCTGAATTGATGGGCATTTGGGTTGTTTCCAAGACTTAGCGATTACAATAACTTAGCTATTATTTTGCTACTATAAACATGGCTACACATATATCACTGTGGTATGATGGTTTCAATTCTTCTGGGAAGATACCCAGAAGGAATACAGGTGGGCTAAACAGGGCCTCTAATCCTAGATTTTTAAGGAGTCTCCACACTGATTTCCACAGTGGTTGCACCAGTCTACACTCACACCAACAGTAGAGAAGGGTTCATTTTTCCCCATAGCTTCACCAGCATTTGTTATTGGTTGATTTCTTGATGATAGCCATTCTGTCTGGGGTAAGATGGAATCTCAGTGTTGTTTTAATTTGCATCCCTCAAATGACCAGTTATGCTGAACATTTTTTCATATATTTATTTGCTGTTTGTACTTTTTCAGCTGAGAAGTATGTATTCATCTTAGAGGCTCATTTTTGGATTAGGTCTTTAAATTTGGGGGATCTAACTTCTTTTTTAGTTCTTTATATGTTCTAGATAGTAGTCTTTTGTGTGAGGAACAGCTGGCAAAAATTTTTTCCCACCCTGTGGGTTCTCTCTTCATTCTGTTGATGGTTTCTCTTGCTGTGCAAAAGCTCTTTAATAAGATGAGATCCCACTTGTTGATTCTTTATGATGGTTCCTGTGCAACTAGGGTTTTGTTCCTAAAGTCTTTGCCTACACCAATGTCTTCAAGAGTTCTACCAATTCTGTCTTGCAGCAGATTTAGTGTTTCTGTTTTAATATTTAGATATTTAATCCATTTTGATTTTAGTTTAGTGTATGGTGAAAGATATGGGTCTACTTTTAATCTCTGGCAGGTAGAAAGCCAGTTTTTCCAGCACCATTTATGAAAGAGGCTACCTTTCTTCCGGTAAAGGTGATTGGCACCTTTGTCAAAGATAAGATGACTAAGTTTGTCTGGAGTTGTTTCCACATCTTCTAACCTGTTCCATTGATCCTCAGATCTGTTTCTTTGCCAGTAGCATGCTATTTTTATCACAGTAGCTTTGTAGTATAATTTCAAGTCAGGAATTGTAATGCCCTTCCCTTGCCTTTGCTGCCCAGAATTGTCTTTGCTATTCTAGGTTTCTTCTTGTTCCAGATGAATTTTAGGATTATTTTCTCTAGTTCTGTGAGACATGCTGTTGGTGTTTTGATTGATATTGCATAAATCTGTATTACAGTTTTGGAAGTATGCCATTTTCACTATATTGAGTCTTCCTACCCAAGAACAAAGGATATCTTTCCATTTTCTGACATCCTCTTCAATCACCTTTTTCAGAGTCCTGTAAGTCTCACCAGGGATATAGCTCAGTGGCACAAGTGCCTTCCTAGCAAGTGCAAGGTCCTGAGTTTGATTTCTGGTACCAAGGGCAAAAAAAACACAAAACCATTCCAGAGTACTGTAGTTTTCAATGTAGAGGTCTTGTGCTTCCTTTGTTAGATTGATTCCAGGGTATTTCATTTTTTGGGTGCGATTGTGAAACTTAGCTTCTCTGTCAGAGTTTGTTGTTTGTATACAGGAAGGCTATTGATTTTTGAGTGTTGACTTTGTATCTAGCTATGCTACTGAATTTGGTTAGTAAGTCTAGAATTTTTTTAGCCAGAGATCAAATTCACGACTTCATGCTTGCCAGGCAGGCACTGTGCCACAGCTATATCCCTGGCCCCTAAATCAGAATTCATTTGTTGGCATTTTGGGGGCCTTCTATGTAGGGTATCATGTCATCCACAAGTAATGATAATTTAACTTTTTCCTTTCCTATGCGTATTCCTTTTATTTCTTTCTCTTGTCTAATTGCCCTGGCTAATGGTTCTAGAACTATACTGAGTAAGAGTGGTGACAGTGGATGTCCTGTCTTGTTCCTGGTTTTAGAGTAAGTGTTTTCAGCTTTTATCCATTTGAAGTGATTTTGGCTGTTGGTTTGTCATGGCTGGCTTGTATCAGTTTGAGATAAAGATCATCTGTTCTCATTTTCTGTAGAGTTTTTATCATGAATGGGTGTTGGACTTTGTCAAACGCTTTTTCTGCATCTACTGAGATGATCATATGGTTTTTGTACTTATATTAATAGTGCATTACATTTATTGATTTGTGTATGTTGAACCATCCCTGCATCCCTGGGATGAATCATACTTGGTCATGGTGTATAACCCCCTTGATAATTTCCTACATTATGTTTACCAGTATGTTACTGAGGATTTTTCCATCTATGTTCACTAGGGAGATTGGCCTGTAGTTCTCTCTTAATAGGATCCTTCTCTGGTTTTTGCATTTGGTAATTCTTGCTTCCAGAAATGAATTTGGGAGTATTGTTTCTCTTTCCCTTTCATTAAAAAGTTTGTAAATTTCTTGTAGAATTCAGCAGTGAATCTGTCAGGACCTTGGCTAGTCTTTGTTGGTAGGTTTTTAATTACATCTTCAATTTAATTGATTGATATGAGCTTATTTAGTATTTTTATGTCTTCTTGATTCAACTTTGGGAATTCACATGTATCTAGGAATCTGTCCATCTCTTCTGTTTTCAATCTTACAAGTTCTTGAAGTAGGTATAGATGATCTTCTGGATTTCTACAGGATTGTTTGTGATTTTACCCTTTTCATTCCTAGTTGCATGGATTTGACTCTTTTCTTTCCTTTTTTTGATAAGGTTAGCTAAGGGTGTATCTACTTAATTCTCTCAAAGAACCAATCTTCAGTTCATTGATTCTTTATATTGTTTTCTTTGTGTCAATTGCATTAATTTCTGCTCTGATCTTTATCATTTCTTCCCTCCTATGAGCTCTGGGCTTGACTTGTTCTTCTTTTTCTAGAATCTTGAAGTCTAACATTAAGTTGTTTATTTTAGCTTTCTCTGTTTTTCTAATATGGGAATTCACAAATATAAATTTCCCTGGCAGGGGGCTGGGGATTTAGCTCAGCAGCACAGCACCTGCCTGGCAAGTGCAAGGTCGTAAGTTCGATTCCCAGTACCAGAAAACAAAACAAACAAACAAAAAATTTCCCAGGCAGGACTGCTTTTATTGCATTCCATGAGTTCCAGCATATTATATTGACCTTATCATTTGATTATAGAAACTGTCTAAATTTTTCTTTAATTTTATCTGTGACCCATTGGTTGTCTAGGAGAGTGTTCATTTAATTTCCACATGTTTATAATGTTCTTGTGGTTTCTTTGTCATTGATTTCCAATTTCATTATAGAAATCAATGTCACCATTTCACTATAGTCTCATAATGTGCATGGAATAATTTCAGTTACTCTACATTTACTTAAGTATGTTCTCTGAGCTAGTATGTGGTGTGTTTTAGAGAATGACCCATGTGCATAAGGAGAAAATATATCCTGACACTGTGGAGTAGAACACTCTGTAGACATCTACTAAGTCCATTTGTTCAAAGGTTTGGTTCAGTTCTGATATTTCTTTATTGATTTTTTTTGTCTAGTTGACTTGTCTGTTTATGACAGTGGGATATTGAGGTCTCCCATTACAATTGTATTAGTGCATATTTGATTTTTCATGTCCATTAATATTTGTTTTATATACTTGGGTGCACTGGTATTTATTTGGTGTATATGTATTTATGATTGTTATCTCTTCCTCTTGGATTGTCCTCTTTACAAGAATGTAGTGACATTCTTTGTCTCTCTTAATCAGTCTTGGCTTGAAATCCACTTTGTCTGCAAATATAATAGCTACCCCTGCTTTTCTTCAAGTTCCTGTCACGTAGATTGTTGTTTTCCATCCTTTGATTTTCAGCCTATCAATTTGTTTTTTAATCAAATGTGTTTCTTGTTTGAAACACATTGTTGGATCTTGCTTTTTGGCCCATTCTACCAATCTGTTTCTTTTGATTGATGAATTTAGACCATTTACATTGATGGTTATAACTAATATGTATTGACTTATCCTTCTCATGTTATTTTCCTGTTGTTGGTTTCCTTGTGGTTGTTGTTGGTTCCCCTTTTCCCCCTGTTTAATTACTTGCCTTGCCAGGTGGATCCTTAGGGTTCATGAAGTTGAAGCCCTCATTATCTTTTTCTAGAACATCCTTCAGAACATTTTGGAGTGCTGATTTGGTGGTCATGAATTTCTTCAGTTGTTCTTTATCATGGAAGTATCTCATTTCTACATCAACTTTTTAAGATAGTTTTGTAGGGTACAGCAATCTGGCCTTGAGGTGGTATTCTATCAGGGTTTAAAATACTTTACTCCAAGTTCTCCCTGTGGGTTTATGTTGAGAAGTCAGCTGTGATTTTGATGGGCTTTCTGTTATAAGTCATTTGTTTATTTTCTCTAACAGCTTTTAATAGTCTGTTCTCGTGTTGAATTTTTGGAATCTTGACTATTATATGCCTTGGGGTAGGTTTTTTATCATGGCTAATTGGAGTTCTATATGCCTCACTTATTTGTGTGTCAAATTCTTTTTCCATGTTTAGGAAGTTTTCTGCCATTACTTCTGTAAACAGGTTTTTTATGTTGTTCATTCTATCTCCTGCTTTTTCATTGACTGATCAACCATATGTCATTCTTCTTTGCACCATCTAGCAGCTGCTGGATTGATTTTTCATGGTCCCTTGCTATTTTTAAGAAATCTTTCTTTTCATGATGGCTAACCATAATGCTGTCTTCTATATCTGATATTGGCTCATTCTGCTACATATACTTTCAATGGAATTTTTAATCTCCTAGTATCTGTTTGACTCTGTTTCATAGATTTCATTTATTTCCTATGCCGGGTGCTCGTCATTGCCACCATCTTCCTAAGCTCCTGTATTTTTTTAATCTTTATCTGCTCTAGATTCACTAACTATATCATTCATTATGGTCACCATCTTTGTAGTTATCTGAGAAATTATTTCTAATTTGAGTTTTTCTAGAGCCTCATTCATTTACTGTTTTACTTCTGCTGTTACCACTTCAGATAGCCCAGGTGGGTGGCTTTGAAATTGTTCCAGCTCATTGCCCCCTGAATTTACCTTTGTCAAGCTAGAAGTCTGGGGTTGCATCTTGCTTCTGTATCTTCTCTTTTTTTTTTTTTTTTTTTTTTTTTTTTAGTTTAACTCCTGGATTGATGCTTATAAATTGCTTATGGCAAGTAGCTTTATTGCTAGTATCAAGAATGCTTAGGAAATGACTACTTCTCAGAGATGTCTTCCAGGTGTAGCTGGCTTTTGGATTTTGAGTTTGTTGCAAAATCCTACCTCTTCAATTTATTGGCAATGAAAAGTTGCTTCCTGTTTAGCCTAGCCCCTGGTTCTTTAGCACTGGCCTATAGTATTGTTTATGACACTCAGGCAATCTCAGTCTTGTCATACCAGGAAGAACAACTGATTAGAACAATTATTTCACCTTGGCTAAAGTAGTACAATCAGTAATAATAATAGCATCCAACATAGCCTAGAAAATGACAAACTGTTGTAACTATTAATTTGCCACCTTTAATATATGAACTAGATTTGTGGTTATATAACAAAGTCTAAAACAAACCAGAAAATTGTATACAGGAAATATACCCTCAATATGGAGATTTACCCTCAGAGGAGAAAATTTAAAAGGCTTTAGGGTGAATAAATAAAAAGACAGAAGAGAAACCAAAAAACCAACTAAAAATAATGTTCACACTCATTTAAAAACAAGAACAAACAAGGAAAAAGAAAAAAAAAATGAAGAAAAGAAGAAAAACATGTCCACTTTAGGATGTGTCTTTGCTGTCACTGGTAGACAGAGTGGGCATGCAGAGCCCAGATCCACGTTGAATAATCCCAGCAAACCAGCAGTAGATTTACAGTGTAGTAATGGATATTCAGTGAGCCTGCACATTTTGTTTCACTGAAATTTAAGCTGGCTCCTGGCTAGGGGGCTGGACCCTGAGTTGACACCCCACACACACCAGCTTGAACTTGTTTCCACCTCACGCTGACACTGGGAGCCACTAGATGGAGCAAGCCTGCCATCTGCTCTGAGTTCTGAGCTCATTTGGACTCTCTCCAAAATGGCAACAAGCCAATCGCCCTCTCCTGGGGGACTCCTGAACCTGAATAACTCACCAGCCACTTGTCAGTCTGCTGAGTCCATTTTTCTATTCCACTGGTGTGTTTCCCTAGGAAGGCCTCTGGGGTCACCAGTAGTCACCATGCATCTGCAGTTTCAAGCCACCCTTCCACACAGTGAGCCAGGGCTCAGGGAGAAAGCACTGTTTGCCCTCTTCCTTCTGTGTTGAGCTGCCTCTCTTCACTCTCCTCACGGGCTTTAATTCTTGCTTCAGATCCTGGCTGTGTGTTGAGGACCCACTTCCCTCCTTCATCTCTTCCCAATGTTGCTATATTCCAGTATCTGGACACCGAATCCCAGAGAGGCTCTTTCTCTACTATTCACCATGCCACCATCTTTCTGGAAGTCCCTTTGTCTTGTTTTTCTTCTCCATGCTCTGTAGGGCCTAAATAAAATAGTTCTTCCTAAACAGAACATTTTCTTTATTAACTTTTTGGTCTCCACAGTCTCCAAATTACATTCTTCAGAGTTCACCATTTCCCAACTTTGACCCATTAGGCTGAGGTCATATCCAGAGCTATTCCCCCAGGCCATTGCCAATACCTCCCATTCCACACAGCAGAGTGGAAGAAAGGATGCAGGGCTCACCCTTCCTCTCAAGAGACAACCAGTGTTTTACAGGATACCTGTCACCAAAACTTCCCTCAAAGCCTCGCTTCTCATGCCCAGCTGCAGGATCACCCAGAAACATAATGCTGGAGCCAAGCATGCAGCACCTCAGGTAGCTAGAGCCAGCTGTGAGAGAAAGGGACATGTAGACGCAGGGGTGGAGAGCCAGCATCCCTGTAGACATGGATAAGGAGTGACCAAGACAGCACAAGAGCCGAAGACTCTAACTGCACAGCTTATGGTTTCCCCACCACCACCTGGTAGACACTGGGTCCTGCTTTGAAAAGGGAATCGGACAAGTATACATTTTTGCCACTTCTCCACAGGTCACATGGGGCTTGACCTCAGCAGAGTCCTCCTGAGATTTGCACAAGAGTTAAAAGGAACAGAACACCATGTGACCATAATTTCCTTGGACCAGGGCCAGGTGGCCAAAGCAGAAGAGATCATTGTCAAGGCTCTAAGCAAAAGGCAGCAGTGGGTCTTCCTGCAGAACTGCCACCTGGCAGCGTCATTTATGCCACGGCTTTGTGCCATTGTGGAGTCGTAAGCATTTTGCATTTATTTGTAAGGATCCAGTTAACTATCAAAAACATGAATGGGGGCTGGGGATTTAGCTCAGCAGCAAAGCTCCTGCCTGGCAAGTGCAAGGTCGTGAGTTCAGTTCCCGGTACCGGAGAAAAAACCAAAAAAAAAAAAAAAAAAAAAACATGAAGTAGCTGCCTGCCGTGGTGCACACCTGTAACCCCAGCACTTGAGAGGCTGAGGGAGGAGGATCATCAGTACAAGGCCTCCCTGAGCTACATAGTGAAACTTCATCTCTAAAAACAAAACACAACTAACTTGATTTTGATCGTGTAACTGAAGTGTTATCTGCCACCTGTACAAACTTTCAGACTGTATATGTATGTCAAACTTCCACCCAATAGTTCCAACACTCTTGATAATTTTTGGCTGAATCATTACTATATTACTTGCCAAATGGTGGCTTTCTAAGTCCATGATTTTGCCTAGATTTATTGATGGGGGCTATTAGACTAGTAGCTCAGTGTAGAGCATGCTTAGCATGCACAGGCCTTGAGTTCAGTCTACAGCACCACACACAGAAGAGTTTGTTTAATGGTGTTCTGCTAGGATGAGAAGCATTTCTTTCTCTCCCATTTGTTCATGTGTTCATTTATTCATATCTGTATGAGTTCACTGCTTCTTATCTTAGTCAACTGATTATAATTGGTTATTAGCACCATTGTTTTAATGTTCAGGTTCCCAGGATTGACCAGTAGACCCCTTCATCTTGTTTTCATTTTCTTACTTTTCTTAGGTTTTTTTTTTTTGCCATGATTGTATATAACTTTTTGAACTTAGGTAAGGCAAAACTATTCCCATTAAAAATGGGAATTGATGCATCTTGTGCAAATTTTTCTGCAACATGAAAGCTCTGGTGATAACATATCTGATATTCTTTTTATTACTATTATTATTTTTTTGGTACTGGGAATCAAACTCAGGACCTCATGCCTGCAAAGCAGGTGCTGTGCTGCTGAGCTATATCCCCAGCCCATAATATCTGATACCCTTGAGTAAAATTATTTGTACAGTCACTTCAAACATAGAAATCCTATGACTCTAAAAGCATTTTAAGTTTTTACATTAAAATATTTATAAATTTTTGTTCTTATTCCAACAGCAGATATACTAAAATATTCATAACTTTTTTATTTTTCAGATTTAACAGGCCAGATGTAACCATAGACCCTGAATTTAGGCTATGGTTAAGCTCCAAATCAGACAGTTCCTTCCCAATTCCGATTCTTCAAAAGGGTGTAAAGGTAAGAACAAATGATAACCTGTTAATGTTAGCCAAGAGCTCTGTTTAAATGTAAGCTGTTTTGCATTCTTGATCTGAATTGAGAAGGGTACTGTTTTTGGTGTCCTAAACTGCTTTGTACTGCCCTATGCTAGGGACCAGGAAGGAGATTTTAAATAATTCACAATTCAGAGGTTTGTTTTCTCACACAAGGCGGCCAGGCTTCCAACTGTTAAAACCCAAAATACATGATTTATGTCCTTTCCGGTCCTTTGTTTACATACCTTTTTCTTATTTCTACTGCTCATCATCATTCTCCATAAAGGTCTTTCAGAAAGCAGACTAAAACTACTCAGTAAAAGTTGCTGACCAAAGACTACATGTGACTTCTTCTCATGCCCATCTGGAGGCTGAGTAGACAGAAGGACTTGCTCATCTCTGCTGACGGTGTCCATCTGGCCATAGATGGTGTCCTTGCGGCAGAGGAGCTGAGCAGCTGCATGAGCCGAGTGCTGCCCAGCCAGCCCTGGGCCCTTCTACTGTTACAGCAAAACCAATATCAAACCAAATGGAAGACTCTCTGCACCAAGGAGTTAGAAGGCAACTTCTATTACACTAGCAGGCTGGGGAACCCAGAGGTTCAAGTCACCAGCCCAGAGTCAGGTTCGAGGTCAGTTTAAACATGGTTTGCAGTGGGAAGTACAAAGCAGATAGCAGGTTATTACATGATTGGGTACATGGAATATAAGAATTATGTCATATGTTGTCAGGCCAAATTGTATAGGAACATTCTGGGAGGGAGAGGGCCTGAGAAGAGTAGGGAGAGTTGAAAGTGTCCTTGGCTGGGCCAGTCTTCCCCAAACATGACATCCTCGAAGTCCTTGAAGCAAGTTGGGATCACTGCATATTTTTAAAACACAAGCTGGACACAGTCAACGTGACCCCACGCTTTGTTAAGGGGGAAGATCTGGGCCTAAATGGTCAAGACTAAATGAATTCAATAAGCTAGCTGCAGGAGCCTGTGATCACGGGCCTCTGATTGATTTCTAACTATTGCTATACTATGTCTACAAGTCTGCTATTCTGTAAGTGCCCTTACACTACCATGACAGAACTGGGGTGGGAGAGAGGAAGATGGTGACGGGCAGCTCCCAACAAAGACCCCACCAGCCTAGGCCTAAGTGTGACTCCCGTGGAGCTCAAAGTCCCCCGTCACACTGCTCCCGCCGCTCCCAGCTCCTGTGAACCCCAGCTCCCTCCCTGCATTCCTGCCCTGGACCCAGGAACCTGGGCTGGGAAAGCTGAGACTTTAGGAGTCCGGCAAGTTCTGACTTCAGTCAGCTTTTCCTCTGACCAAGAGTTGGGGTCTGAATTGCTGCCTACAGAAATCTTTGTAGGACTTTTCTTACACCATTATCTACACAGACAGATGGCAGCTTTCTTTTTTATTTTTTTATTTTAAAAATAAAAGAAGGAAAACATTAACAAACAGACAACCATTTACAAAATAGCAAAAGAACAATACAAACAATACAGAGTTACAAAGTGGTAGGAAATTAACAATGCTTGTTCTATTACATATTGATATCTTCAAAGTGGTTTTTCAGGAAAACAATTAGAGACATGCAATATCAATCAATCAAGGAATCGTTAACTGTTTCTTTCAGCAAAGAAATAGAAGACAGTTCAACTTTGTTAACTGTCCTGTATATACATACATACAAAATTTCTCCTTCTATCCCTTGTCTTTTCCCACATCCCAGTTGCCCTTTACCCTTGAACATTTTCCTCTCGCTTCACATGTCTATCATCATACCTCCTACTTTTTAGTCACTCTTTTAGGTTTTACACTATTGTGACAGTGCAGTGCTTGCACATGCAGGTCTGATTTATTTCATGAGTATGGTCTCCAGTTGTGACCATTTACCTATAAAAGCCTCGAGTTTATCTTTCTTTATAGCTGAGTAATATTCCATTATATAAACATACCACAATTTTTTTATCCAGTCCTCAGTGGATGGACATTTGGGTTGCTTCCACAATTTAGCAATTACAAATTGTGCTGCTATGAACATAGGTGCACATATATCACTGTGATACAATGTTTTCAGATCTTCTGGGAAAATACCCAGAAGGGAAATAACTGGGTTGAATGGCAGCTTTCTTAATATATAAATAAGAGCACCAGCAAATAAGTAAGAAAAACATTAACATTTTATAAAAGTAAGCAAAAAACACAAGAGGTCAAAAAACATGGAAATAGTAAAAGCTCAGGCTTTAGAGATCAGAGAAATGCAAATCGAACAAGGAGATATCTTTGCTTGCCCTCAAACCGACAACGATTAAGAGCAGATGCAATGTCATTAGTGCTGTTAAGGTTCTGTGAAATAACATTCTCACATAATCTGACAAGGCAGATATCAGAAAGAGATCAACAGAAAGAATTGCTTTTATATAATTCTGCAGACATTATATATAGAAAGAGAAAGACTTAAAATTTCATACAGTTTGATCAAGTGATTCACTTCTAGGAAAAAAGCCAAAATATGGTGCATTTAGGCTGATGAAAAAGAATTCTCTCTACAAAGCTGCAGTCTCCCTCCCTGTCTTCTCCCTCTTTCTTCTCTGTCACTTGCCTCTTCAGATATACTCCTTAAGCGGGGGGGGGGACACATACTGTACCTGCTTTCAGAAATAGGAGACCCTCCCCGAAAGAACTGGTCATAGAGCTGTGAAACAGTGCTCTGTGAAGTTCTCATCCCTACATAGCTGGGGCTTTCTGAGCAAAAACAGCAGGTAAATTTTGTTAAAGATGTCTGAAAGGCAGCATGCCCAGAGATTGGGTCTCTCATATACCTACATTTCCCCCACCTCCCAGAGCCAGTGGCTCACATTTTAAAGGTGACAGGGCAGAGAAGCGTCAGGGAATAAAAACCCAAGGCTGTAGAAGCCTGGAGACCTGGCTCTCCCCCTGCTCTCTCCCCACCACCAGTCATCACGATCCCCTCCCCTCTGCAGTGCAGTGCACTCTCACCACGTGGTGTGCCTGGTTCTGTCACCCAGGTGGGGATGAATCAAGTTGCTCAATGAGTAAATAATCACTCTGATCCTGAATCTGGAGGTCATATTCACACTGCACATGCACGCACACACGTGCATACGCACTCACACACACGTATCCATGCACTTCCGTACATACCATAAATGCATAACTACACATTTGTATTCATGCCATATGTAATGACAATGACACAAGGTTTCTGACTGTCCAGTGTAGAAACAGCTGCACTCTCAGCTTGTCTCACAAGGGTGTAAGCATATACGTGCATATGCAAGATGTGTCAGGAGGTCTGACATCTCAGACCCAGCACTGCCACAGAGGCTCAGAAACAACCTGTCCGCTCTCCCACCTTCCTGCCTTTCTGGCATCCTGGAGAGGAAGTCAGAATAAGTAGGTTTTTAATGCCATCAAAACATGTAGTAAGGCACCCATGGATTCCCATATGGGTGGCGCCGACACTCTGACACGCTTGCTGGCTCAGACAAGGTCTAACCCCTGAGGCCCTGAGCTGCCCCTGACAGGTGGGACTGCCCTCAGGCTCTTAAGTGCTCTGCTTCCTGTGCTGCAGAGACAGTCAGAACTACCCAGGGAAACCTATCAGAGGAGCTTGCGGACAGAGAAGAGTAAGCAGCACAAGGGCTTCCTGCCATAAACCTAGACAGCCCCTCTCCTTCAACGTCCCTCTGCTGCCCAGAGCAGAGCGTATGTCCACCCTCCCACAGCATCTCTTCACATCTGTCTTTAAGGTTGCTATGGAGCTTCCCCAGGGACTGAAGAACAACTTACTCCAGATGTTTGGATACAGTGGTGGTGGGGAGGTAACAGAAGAGATATTTGAAAACTCTGACTATGGACAGTGGTGGAAAAAACTTTTATTCAGCTTATGCTTTTTCAATGCTGTGGTCAACGAGAGAAAAAATTATGGCACACTGGGCTGGAATATAGCTTATAAGTTCATTTCTTCAGACTTGGAGGTAAGTCTGAACTCTCCAAAACAAACAGTAGCACCTACATGACAGTGAGCTACAAGCTGGAGGCCTTCGATGTCTGCACAAATGCCAGATGTTGTGAGGGGTCCCAAAAATGAACCCTGCAACCTAACATGACGGCTGACGTTTAAAGACAGAGACTTTGAAGCCAGCTTTTCTAGAGTCGAGTTACAGCTCCCCCCACCGTGACCTGTGCAAGCTAGAGGGTCCACCGTTTTCTGGGGTCAGAGGGCAGCAAACGTGAGGCCCTGGTTCCCGGGACCAGGGTGTGAGTGAGGGCGGCACTCAGAGCAGCACCTGGTACACAGGCAGCGCTACGAGCGCTTACCGGGCTCTCCTCACGAAAGCAGGGAGGTGACCCTG